CTAAGGTGGAGGAGTGTGCCACTATGGCAAAGTAGCTGCTGTCCACGTGTAGACGCCCACAAACAGTACGTCACCATAGTGCATCACTGCAGCATTGTAGTGTCATGTGTAGACAATTCCATGAAGTAGGGAAAATATCCTAGTATTTTGGGGTGCTGCAGGCTCATCCTTGAATCCTTGTATTGAAAAGTTTTGGGGGGGTTGGGGGTTTTGGGAGGGTTTTGTTTTGTTAAAAGCAAAAATTTGTTTTATTTGGTGGAACAAGCCTAAAGTAACATTGAATACTGGTCTGGGTGTGTCAGAAATTAATAAAACGTTGGAATAAGTCATCATTCCTTTGTCAATGACAGCTAAGGATTTGTCATGTTTTCAGATGACTGATTACAGTGATTCTCTTTTTTCTTAAATGGAACAGATTATCTTCAGTTCCCCTTTTCAGTTTTAATGAACTGTCCCACATTATAATTACCATCTGCATAACTAATTAATGTATGCATTTGCTGTAAAAAGCTTTTGTTAATGGTGACTTTTTTTTCTTCTACAGAAAAACAGGAAAAAGAAGTTGACATGTATGCTAACCTTTCTGATGAAAAGGCTTTCGTGTTTTCAGTGGCATTGGCGGAAATAAACAGAAAAATTATCAATCAAAGACTCATTCTGTAATTCGTCAGCACAATCGGATGCATTTGTATGCAAGATGGCTAGCATATTTCCAAGGTGTCGTGGACTCTCAGGAAGCATGTTGTCTGTGTCGACAAGGACCAAAGTTTTCCCTGTTAAAGTTGTGCTGCTGTTTTGAAGCTCAGATTTTTGGGTATCTATGACACAAAGAAGAAATGTCAAGCTTTTGTTCTGAAAATCAGACAGCAAAAATGCTTTCTACCTTGAAGACTAAAGGTAGACAAGTGCACAGAGAGAATGCACCCTTTCCAGAGCACTTCAATATTTGTTGCCAGACATGCAATATTTTAAATTTCAGAAAAATGATTTTTCTTTTAAAACAAAATATATTTCAGATTTTTCAATTATATTACAGTTTACACATGTACAGTTCTAACGTTTTAATAAATTGGTATTCTATTATTGAACTGTGAATTAATTGTATTTATAACATTAAAGTTGTTTTGGTTTGATTCCATAGTAGCTAGCTAGTAGCTAGGGGTCAGGAGGGACTGAATAGATCATCTAGCCTGACCCCCTTCCACAGGCAAGAATGAATGCTGGGTTCACAAGACCCCTGACAGGTGATCATCCAACCTCCTCTTGAATTTGCCCAAGGTAGGGGCGAGGACCACTTCCCTGGGAAGTTGGTTCCAGATTTTGGCCACCCTAACTGTAAAATATTGCCTTCTGATCTCTAACCTAAACCTATTCTCCATCAGCTTATTACCATTATTCCTTGTCACCCCAGGTGGTGCTGGGGAGAAAAGGGTAATACAGGTAAACAATGAAACGGTAAAAGTCATGTTAATGTTGGGTCTGTTTAAAACTAAACCATGGTGGATAGGGGTGTGTGTGAAATTTTATACTGTTTGGCTAGATTGGTAGCTTGCTTATTTTACTTTTTAAAGGTGGTGAGTGTGTGTAGAAATACTTAAACAACTCCTATAGAATCTTTGTTTTGTTTAACATGGTAAATGAGGAGTTTCAAACACAAGACGATACTTCCTCAAGTAGGACACAAATCTGTTTTCACAAACTATGTTTGGTCACTGATAATGAGTAGTAGGCAGACATGGAGGGCAGCGTTCCAGGTATTAATACAACCTCTGGTTTGTGTTGGTAGGTGAATAAACTTGGAATTGACAAGTGGGGGCAACAGAGTTCCAAGCAATTGTAATGTTTAAATTGTGCCTTTTACTGTTCGAGCACTAACAAGTATTCTTCAGCTCAGGACTTGCACCATCCCCTCTTCATATTCCTACTTGCGAGTTGCCCATCGAGAATGACAGATGAATTTTGAATAACAAAAACAAAGGCTGCTGGCCTTATCCCCCCCGCAACTCTGTCCCTGCTCCGCCTCCAAGGGGGAGGGAGGGGGTGATGCCAGTGGTGCTGGCCTCTCCTTCCTGCTCTGTCCCTGCTGTCATGGCCGTGCTCCACTGTGCCACCACATCCTGTCTGTAATGCTCTTGGAGCATTCTGGTTGTTTCAGTAACCAATCCGAGTGCTCCAAGAGTATTATGGACAGAGGACTAAGCCCTTTATTATATGAGAATACTAAAACCTTCATTCCTTAAAACTTAATAGCATCTACCTCCTACTTCCCTGGTTCTCTTCAGCTGCCAGTTCTTCCCTATATTTAACCTGACTTATTCACATAACCTTTTTTTTTCCCCTGATGACCCTTACCCTCTACAGAAAGTTTTAATAAGCTGCAGAGGTATATAGATTTTACTGAGAGTAAACCAGTTAAGGAGGCTTGTTTCTACCAATGGATTGTAGTCATTTCTCCAAGTCCCAATGTATTCTCTCCCCACCCGCTGGAAACTGTCTAGTCTTCCCTATGTAAACAGAGCACGTTAGCAGTTTTAAAAAACCCAGCTAACTCTGTGTTTTAATTTCCTAAAGATTAAACATTAGACTTTTCAAAAGACTTTTTTTAAATGTAGCTGATTTTTGGAGATTTGGATCAAGTAAAATAGGCATTTATACTTTTGAGTCAAGATTTCACTGTTCTGCTTCTCTTTTCTTTCTCCCCCGCGCCCCCTTTTATTTGTACAGAAGAGGACCACAACATCTAATGAGCCTTTAGTATAAAGGAATGCACTTCAGAATACCCTGGAATGTAGATGCATTGAAGCAATATACAAAATAATAAATTTAAAGCTAGTGATAGCTGAGTGGTGAGAGAAGAAAAATGTTCCATGTCTTTTAAAATGTAGCTGTGTCTGTTTAATATAACGTGTGAATTCATTGAAAACGCAAGGTTTTCCAAGAAGCAAGACTGTAAATGAAACATTAAAAAAAAAAAACTGTTTTCCTAATCTGCCCATATCTAATTTCAGTACAGACCTCCCATGGTATTTTGCACAGGGGCTGAAAATGTTTAGATAAATGTTGTTTTTCATTCTTTTGTGATTTGCCATGTTAGCTTTGTATTGTGTAAAACATTTCCATCCTTTCAGGTGAAAGTAAATGGAAGTTAGGCTGCAAATACTTCCTCAAATAACTAGAAACAGTTCTGGATGCAGCATTCTTAAAATTTATATAAGATCTTCGCAGTTCAATATATTTTGCCTTTTGTAGTCTACAGTACCAGCAGCTGAACAGAAAATTATTTTTCCCTTCAGCTTATTTAGAACAGATGGAAACCATATTTTTAATTTTGTCTGATGTATGGCTATGCTTTCTGGAGTAAAAGGGTCTGGAATCTTAGTAACTGAATTATTCATCTAGCATTGTTGCCTTCGCAGCATTGTGAGGATTTGTGAAAGGAGCATTTCAGGTTTTTCCTTCTTTTTTTCTTTTTCTCTATTCCACAATTGAAATTTACTTATAATGCATTTTTTAGATGTATACCTGTCCTATTGCCACACATGTGATTGTGATTTTTATTGCTTGGAAGAGCAAGGGTACTAATGTGTGTCCTAAAATTGACTCTGGCAGTGCCACAATACTTCTAATATATTATCAGTAGGGATCTACCCTACTTGCAAATTCTAAAAAATAAAATGCTGGATCTGCAGTGTGAGCCAGTGGTCCTCGGGGAAGGGGCTGCTGTGGCCCGACCTTGTAGCTCACTGGGCAGGGAGGGGAGCTGCTGGCATGAAGGGGAGCAACAAAAATGGCAGTTGCCCTTTGCTGCTGATTGGCTGAGCAAGCTGCCCATTGTACAGCCCTCTTGGCCAATCAATGGTGAGGGGGAGGAACACGGTGAAAAGAACATGAAAATGGCATCACAAGTGGCTGGTGACTTTTTTTTTCCCCTTGCCTCAGCAGGAATTAATTTGTTCCCTTAGGGATAGTCCAACCCCTAAATCAGCTGGAATATTTCCATTCATTCAGAAAGGGATCAAATAGTTTGATATTAGCAAAATAATTGTATGACACCCTTTGGATGGAATTTTTGAGAGAGAAAGGCTACACTTGTTAAAATAGGTTGAGAACCCCTGTACTAGGTAACATAATGCACAGGCAAAATTGCTGGCAATGTGTTACCTATTTATGGTCCTTAATGTTCTTTCAACATCAGCATCTTTCCAAAGTTCCAGCTCAGGTACCCAGTTATACATTTTTTTTCTTGTTTTTAAGGGGGGGCAGTAAATTGAGCCACCCCCCGCCCTGTGAGGGAGGGAGGGAGTGGGACTGGGGCTAGGGCTGCAGCTGCACAGCTGGGGGAAAGCAAAGGATAGAGCCACAAGTGGCTCATCCAGGGCGTGCGGGGAGAGGGATGGCAGCTCCTGCTGCTGCACACAACCCAGGAGGGCATGGGAAAATATGCCCCTGGATTTTTCACGGGGCAAGAGTGGGCTGGCCCAGTGGTGGGGGAGGGGCTGCCCAGCTGGGGTGAGGTGCAGAACTGAGCTGTGTGGGGGGCAGCTCCTGCAACTATGTGCACCCCAGGAGGGCATGGGGTGTGCGCCCCTGGATCTGCATGGGGGAGGATGAGATGCGGCTGTGGGTGGCGCCAGGCTGTTCCCAACAGGGAGGTGGGCTGGGTGGCAACAGTGCTGGGAGGGAGCTATGGGGAGCTACAGCAAATTCTGGAGTGGCTGCAGCCCCACTCCCATAGCCCCCTCCCAGCACCACCACTGCCTGCCCCAAGTCCTCGGTTCCCTTCTGAGGTGTGTGCACTGATGGGAACTGCCACCCCCTTCCCTCTGTCCCTCAGCTGAGCTGTGGCTCCATCCCACGCTCCGCACTGGCTCCTGCTTCTGCGTGCACCCCTGGAAGGGTATGGGGGCCTGTGACCCCAGATCACCCTGTGGGGTGGGGCAGGGCGGGCTGTAGCTGTGGGCTGGGGTTGGTGCTGGGCTGTTCCTAGCAGGGCTGTGCTGGGGGTGGCGGTAGCTGGGGGCCATTTGGGTGGGCAACTGAATTCTGGGGTGGCTGCAGACCCTCCCATAACCCCCTCCCAGCACTGCTGCTGTCAGCCCAGAGCGCAGCCTAGCCCAGCCCCTGCCAGGAACAGCCTGGCACAACCCTGTCCCCAGCCTGCAGCGGCATCCTGCCCTGCTCCATGTGGATCTGGGGGCATATGCCTCCCCCCCCCCCCCC